CTTTGAACAGCCCTCATTGTGAAGTCCTGATAGGTGCCAATTTCTAACCATTGGAAAGAAAAAAGTGAGTTTCCAAGACTACTCAGAACAGATTACAATAGTGCCCCTTGTTTGTGGTTTCACTTTCTGTCATTTCAGTTATCTGCAGTCAACCATGGTCTGAAAATATTAAATGGAAAATTGCAGAAATGAACAATTCATTAGTCATGGCTAGATGATCCTCCTTTTGATGTATAGTCAGAAAGTCAATAGTAGCCTAATGCTACGTCACAATGCCTATGTCGTTCACCTCACTCCATCTCCTCACATAAATGTTGTTATCTTCTCACATCATCACAAGAAGAGTTAGTACAGTACAATAAGATATTTTGAGCCCTGGCCGGGTTTTCTCAGTGGTTAGACCATTGGCCCTCAGACTGATGGGTCCCGGATTCGATTCTGGTCAAGGGCACATATCTCAGTTGCAGGTTGTTGGTTCAATCCCTGGCCCTGGTTGGGGTGAGAGCAGGAGGCAACCAATCCATGTGTCCCTCTCACATCAATGTTTCTCCTCACACTCCCCCCTTTCACTCTTGCCGCCACCTTCTTCCTCCCTCCCTTCCACTCTATGTAAAAATCAATGAGAAAAATATCCTTGGATGAGGATAAATTTTTTTTAAGATATTTTGAGAAGATTCCACATTCAGTTAGATTTTACATTATAATTCTCAAAATACCTTCTAGCTTTAGACATGGGTAAAATAATGGCAGTTTAAACTTCATATTAACCATTGTTTTTTTGTCTTTTTCGTTTTTTTCAATCCTCGCCTAAGGATATGTTTTCTATTGATTTGAAAGAGAGAGAGAGAGAGAGAGAGAATATTACAGCAGTTGGTTGCCTTCTGTACACACCCAACTGAGGATTGAACCCATCATCCTCAGTGTACAGGAAGATGCTCCAACCAACTGAGCTACTCTGGCCAGGGCAACTACTGATTCTTTATAACTCCATACATCTGGCAGGGAAAGGATGAGGATATTTACACTTGAAGAAAAGTTGTTTGTTTGTTTTTTAAATAACAAACTACTTTGCTTACTGTAGAATTTTCCTGTATTATTATCCTCAGTAACAGAAAGAATGGGAGACTGGGTGATGACAATACATCCAGGTGCATTAAAGTTTATTTTAGAGCCAGAAAAGACCCAAAGCAGCCACAGTCTTCTTCTTGCCCTCTGCCAACATTCTGGAAAAAAATCACACGATTAGATAATAGTCTCAAGCCAAACATTTTTATATGTATTCTAGTAAATTAACATATTCTTGTGTTTTGTATTTTCTCAACTCTGTCTTTATCCTTTTCATTTATACTTTTCTGTTACTGAAAGCTTCTTTCCTTTCCTGTTACAGGATTATAGCTGGACGGATATCCGCTGCCCCTTTGAAAAACGAAGAGATGCAGCATGCGTGTTTTGGGACAATGTTGTATACATTTTGGGTGGCTCTCAGCTCTTCCCCATAAAACGAATGGACTGCTATAATGTGGTGAAGGATAGCTGGTATTCCAAACTGGGCCCCCCAACACCTAGAGACAGCCTCGCTGCCTGTGCCGCAGAGGGCAAAATCTATACATCTGGAGGTTCTGAAGTCGGTAAGGACTTTCTCAGTGCTTTTGTTTGGGGCATGTGTTTTAAAGCCAAGTACCTTGGCTTTCATTTTTAAATAAACAGTTGGTGTTATTTATTCAGATATTTTTTGACATAATTTAAATGGATATGTTACATTTTAGAGCCCATTTCCCTGGGCTCTAAATCAGTATGAATCAGTACTTCAAAAGAGCTTCAACTTCCTAGATTATGTCCATTTTTTAAAAAATATGTCCAGTTTTTTAAAAATGTGTTATTAATTTTTAGAGAGAGAGGAAGGGAGAGGGATAGAGAAATAGAAACATCGATGAGAGAGGAACATCATATATTGGCTGCCTCCTGCACACCCCCTCCTGGGGAACGAGCCCACGACCCAGGCATGTGCCTTGATGGGGAATAAAACTGGAGAACCTTTTGGTTCCTGAGTCAACGCTCAACCACTGAAATATACAACGGTACCTTGATAATATACTCAAGAATGGACCAGCATGACTTCTCAGGGCTCACCATACAACCCCCGAGAGAAGTCAGGAAGATAGTATTGTTAGTGGTGCAGTAGCTGTCATAGAATATTATATGGTAAGCCTCAGAATATTATCAGATAGTAGTTTTCATATTTTAAGGCATGGGCTTATCATCTGTGATTAGGTATGCTTTTTCCCCTCTATATAAACATTTCAAGTTTGGATAATTCCCATCATGCACCACTGGGCTGGAGGACATCCATAAAGTTCCTTATTTAATTTTTCTCTTGAAATAAAACCAAATCTTTTCCTAAAATGCAATTACAATATGTAAGTCTCTCCACAGATCCTTCTGTGAATATTTTCCAAGGTCTGTACCAACTAGTCCTACATTGTGTTGCTGTTGTTGAGTCTAGAAAAGACTCTGTAAATTCTTTCTTCCAGTAACCGACTCCCTCTGCAGTCAGCTCGCTCTAAGCCTGTGCACACACTCCATCAAGCATGACGGGGCCTTCTTCTTTTCCAGGAAACTCGGCTCTGTATTTATTTGAGTGTTATGACACGAGAACTGAGAGCTGGCACACAAAGCCCAGCATGCTGACCCAGCGCTGCAGCCACGGGATGGTGGAAGCCAATGGCCTAATCTATGTTTGCGGTGGAAGTTTAGGGAACAATGTTTCTGGCCGAGTGTTGAATTCCTGTGAAGTTTATGATCCTGCCACAGAAACGTATGTATGGATTTAAAATTCTATTTCACAGTATTGTATCCTGTAAGCTCAGTGTAAGAAAAAGAGCCCAACGGGAGAATTTAGCTCTAATAGTAAGAATATACACACAGTTTTAAATGTTTACAGCCTGGACCCTTTCTCTGCACCTTAAGAAATGGCTTCAGTTTATACCCTGTGGCAGCCCCTCTCTTTCTCTTTCTCCTTGTAGGCAATGAATGTCTATGAATGATGAGACAAGTCTGACTGCTTGATCAAACTCATGAAATAACTTCCTTTTAGAGGTCAGGAAATGTAGGGGAGGAGGGGGGAGATTAGGATCAGTAGTAAATTTGCCTTTAATTAAGAAATATTATATGTTTAATTAGAAATAGTAATAAATCATGACCCTAGGTATGATGCCTTTTGTGAGCTTTGTGCTTAGGAAAGTATGTTTAGATTCATTTTTATTCAACAAAATTATTCTTAAATCAACTGGTTTTTGAAAAGCAAAATGCTAAAGAAATAAATGATTAGCCAGTTTTTCTGATCTTGTAATTAACATGATGAAACCCATTGAATGTAGCCAGAGGAAATATGCTAATTATTTAATAGTAAGGGCAGTGAAAAGTACAATGACATGGAACTAGTGAGGACATGAACACAGATGATGTCCTAGTGATACTCAGAAATATCCCAAGAACTTCAATGAGAAAATTCGCCTGCTTTTTGAAAGGATTATTCTTCCTTTACCCAGAACAAGATATTGGGTAAATATGTTCAACTGAGATGTTACGCCAAAGAGTGGCACCAACTCTCTTGTGCTCAAGTTTTATATTTAGGAAATATTACCAGACTTCAAAATATAGAAGTCTTCCACTCCAGCTGCTGCTTTTTTTTTTTATTAAGAGTAACAATTTAATTATAAAATATGACCAGTCATGTGCATTTATTTATTTATGCTTCCCACCTGCTTTTAAGGGTTTAAAGAAGCATAATCAGTAACTCCTTTACCAAGCAAAAATGTGGTTAACAATAGTTTGTTTACTCATATTTTGCTCATCTGGTTACCAGTGTTAGAAATAGAATTGAGTGCAATGTATCTTGAAATTTGTCTTTTGCCCAGTGTTGAGACTAGGCAATCTCTTGAAATCATCCAGATTTATTACTCCTTTCAAAATGTACCTCTGTACTTACCTTTGTACTTGTCAGAGCACACTGGCTTATCCTCATCTTATCATCCACCAATTCAACTATCTATCTACCCCTTTTTGCCCCACACCACAGGAGTGTATATCAGCTGTCCTCCCTCCTAGATCAGTCTCTACTACACCTCCCATAAGCCCTGTGCTCAAAAAGTGTTGCAGCATACTAATTGGAAAACTAGTCTCATTCATCCTGCTGCCTAATTCTTTTTTCATCTCTAAAAAATCTCTTAAAGTAGGACCCATACCATATAAACTCCGGGCTTTTAAATTTGTTCAGGCAGTATCAATGTAAATCAATATATTCTTGTTCATATTAGAGTAAACATTAAAGGAATTCTGTAACCTCAATTTTTTAAAAAAACTAGGTGATTATATTCAGTTTAGGGAATATTTTAAAACTTATACAACTTAGCATTTTTTGTATATATTGAGCTTGTATGTTAAATTTGAATTTTTCGTATCCTCTTCAATGCCCTTAAATTTTCTTAAGTGAAAAAAGAGTGTGACTATAATTATCCAACTCTCAAAATGAAAAATAAGTTATATATTACTAAGATTTTCTTTCTACTGTGATCTGTCCATCCATGTTTTTTACAAAATTTTCTTCCCAGTTTTGACAGTTTTTTAAGTATTTTGTAACTAGACTGTGTTTAATTGGAAGGTCTGGAATAAAACCTCTGCAGTCAGAATTTTAAGAAATTAAAATTGTGAAACTTCCGTAATTGTAAACCTTCAGGAAACTTATCCTATATAATAAAACCCTAATATGCAAATTGACCAAACAGTGGAATGACTGGTCGCTATGATGCGCACTGACCACCAAGGGGCAAACGTCTGCCCTCCTAGAGGAAGACAACCAACAGGCGGCAGTGGCAGTGGCGATCGGGGGGCAGTGCCAGCCAGCGAGTGCCCCACCAGTCGCCGCCTGCAGACCCGCAAACCCCCAAACTGGTAGTCAGACATTCCCAGAGGGTGCAGGCCGGCCTGAGGGACCTCCACACACACCTCTCTTGCACAAATTTTGTGCACTAGGCCTCTAGTATATACATAAAAACATGCGCTTTATACCATGGACATATTTGAAGAAGAGAGGGCTTTATATATATTGAATTTTTCCAAATCAAATAGTGTGTTGATTGTACTTGGATAGCTTACTCTATAAAGCTCACTGCATGGAGAGGCAGTGGAGGCCTGGTGCTGGCTCTCCCACTTCTAAGCTGTGTGCTGGTCTTTTCACCTGGACAGGCCTGTGTGTTTATCCTGAAAAGCAGGAGCAGCGTTGCCAACCTCACTTTACAGAGTACTCTGAAAATGACAGTGGTGACTGCCAAACCACTTTTTAAAAATAAATATAAGGCAACAAATAAGTTACTACTATTTCATAGTTAATCATTATGCCTTAATTATGTTTTTAAAAGTTACATTTATTACATTGTTTAAAAGAAGAAATAGAAATAACCATACTAGAGGGTAACACTTATGCCATTTTTTGTTGTTGTTGTTGATTGGAGTATTTTGGTTATTAGCTATTATGCACACAACCCCTGTGTGCCAGTACCATCTTCACAAACACAAATGTCAATTGTGTTTATGAGAGTATATGCAAAAGAAAGGATTGAATCGCAGAAAAAAAACAGTTAACCACATTGTCTATGATGTGTATGAATATGATGCTTTTACCTGTGAATTAGTGTCCTTCAACGCTTGTATCCACATTTATATCTCATTCTCAGTATTTGTTGTAGTGGCTGTGAACACAGCAACATACTAATAAGTTATTAAACTTAACAGAACGATAGCACTTTTGTTACTAGGTCTGGCTAAATTCCTAAGTGTAAATTTGAAGATGAACATGTGAATAGTAATAGATACTACTAAGTTGCTGGTGCTAGAGGCCCATAATAAATTTGTTTTACTTATTCATATATAAATATTAATTAACACCACATGTGACAGTGTTTGTGCTTTATAGTCTCTTATGTACCTTAACCTTGTTTTTTGTTATCATTTTACAAGTTATTGTGAACTACAGGAAATGGATTTCTTCCACAGACATGTTAATAATCTCAAATATGTCCTATATGTCATACCCTATCAGAGTTGAAGGGAATAAAATCTGTATTTACCCACCTATAAATAAATTACTCAAAACCACTGTAAAGCTTTTGTTTTCTAGCCTTCCGAATGTGTGTGTGTGTGTGTGTGCGCGCATGTGTGCACACGCACACACATATGTGACTGGTAAGTGAGCACTTAGTTGGGATAACAGATCTTTCTTATAAATTAATATTGTGTGTGAACAGTACACTAAAAACTTTCTTTTATTTTTTCAGATGGACTGAGCTGTGTCCAATGATTGAGGCCAGGAAGAATCATGGACTGGTATTTGTGAAAGATAAGATATTTGCTGTGGGCGGTCAGAATGGCTTAGGTGTGTGATGGTGTTAATTCACTGTTCAACTTTCCCAATGAGTTTGATGATACTTCCTTACCTTAAATTATGGAAACATTTCTTAAAATGTAAATATAGGGGTTTATCCAATACATCATTATGCTTATTTTTATGGCTTCTAGTAAACTATAGATTGCACAAAGATTCACACAATAGGCCTTCCTTCCCCTGGCTGCTGGCACTGGTTTTCCTCCGGCACCCAGGACCCAGTCTTCAGCCTTCACTCCACACCTGTGTATGCAAATAACTGCCGTCTCTGTTGGGTTAATTTGCATAGTCGCTCTGATTGGTTGGTGGGCATAGCGGAGTGATACCTATTTGCATGTTTCTCTTTTATTAGTGTAGATAGAAACATTGGAGTACATTTAACATCCTTTTCCATGAAATGTGGGTAATGCCCATCAGTCATTGTAACAGTCCCAGACAGCTTCTGCACATTTCTAAATATTTCTGGGGTTTGGTATCATTAGTTTTAAGAACTATTGAATAATAGAAATATTTGAACTTTTAAAAAACTTTTAAAGTACAGGTTTTAGGACTTGTATCCAGGCTCTGAATGGCAAACTTTCCTAACATTTTTTTAAAATATATTTTATTGACTTTTTACAGAGCAGAAGGGAGAGAGTTAGAAACATTGATCAGCTGCTCCCTGCACACCTCCTACTGGGGATGTGCCCGCAACCAAGGTACATGCCCTTAACCGGAATTGGGACCTTTCAGTCCGCAGGCCAATGCTCTATCCACTGAGCCAAACCAGTTAGGGCATAACATTTTTAAACATTGCATGAAAATATTAGTATTACTATTTTATTAAATGAGTAAATTTGACCTTTTTTTTAAGATTTTTAATTGATTTTTAGAGATAGAGGAAGGGAGAAGGGGAGAGAGAGTGACACATTAATTGGTGGCTGCCTCCTATTACCCCTCTCTTGAGCCCCACTGTATCCACTGAGCCAAACTGGCTAGGGCTAGCAACCTTTTTGGTTGGACAGTGCCCAGCCAACTGAGCCATACTGGCCAGAGCTTTATTTTCTTAAATAATATACTAAAATCTTAAATAATTGCTTTAAATAATGGAGACTTTGGACTGAATCTATAGATTATTCCACAAACCTCATTTTAGTCAGCACCATTAAGCATTACTTAAATGTAACAATAAAATAACTTCTTTCCCTTGCCTATCTCTTTTCATTGCTATTTTCCATAAACTGCTGAAAGATAAATAGTACAAGGACAAACTCGGACATTTGAATAATTAGATTTAAAGTTAATCAACAGGAAAATCCACAGATTGGTTTACTTTTTTATTTTATTTTAATTTTGCATAATCAAATATTTATGATTCTAAAATGACAAAAATTAAATGTCTGTTGTGTTAAGGTAAGAAAAGATGTGTGGGCATTATAAGATTCTTACACCTTTTCTGCATGCTTGAACATTATCATAATAAAATGTTAGAAAAATGAAAAAAAATATTACTTTAAGAGATCTTAGAATTGTTCATGTAGTTCATGTTGTTTTATTCTTTTGAAGGTGGCCTGGACAATGTGGAATATTATGATATTAAGTTAAATGAATGGAAGATGGTCTCACCAATGCCATGGAAGGGTGTAACAGTGAAGTGTGCAGCAGTTGGCTCTATAGTTTATGTCTTGGCTGGTTTTCAAGGTGTGGGTCGATTGGGACACATCCTTGAATATAACACTGAAACAGATAAATGGTTTGCCAACTCCAAAGTTCGAGCTTTTCCAGTAACAAGTTGTTTAATTTGTGTTGTTGATACTTGTGGAGCAAATGAAGAAACCCTTGAAACATGAAAAATGAGTGGACTTCAAGACTTATTGGAGACTCAAAAATATGGCCACCAATACTTTGTTCCAAGAGTTGGTTACAAAGTTTTAGTTTGGTGGGTTTTGGGTTGGTTTTTTTTGTTTTTGTTTTTTTGTTTTGTGTGTGTGTGTGTGTTTTTAAGGAAATTTCAAGTAAAGAAAGTCCCCTATAAAATCATATTTCCTTAATTCAAAGACCACATTTTAGCTGTCCACATAATCATGAACATATCTAGCAAGAAAACTTGAAAAACACTAAGCATTTGGTGAAAATATGAATTTTTCTTAAATGAATTTCGCATTTATAACTATAATTATGACAGAGTGGGAGATTGGCTCATCAGTGAACAGTCTCATCTTAGCTCTAGATTCTATTTTCATACATCACAGAAGTGCTATGTATTAGGCTATTTGTTTCAGTTTAGTCGAGAACTAAAAAAATAGTATGGAGCAGCTTAGTCTCCCATAGATTTGCTTGTCTTCATTTGTTCCATGTAGTGCCAAATGTGTTCCATTTTTAAAAGCAAGGCAGAGTGAGTCGAGGCATGCGCATACTCTCTCACAAACTTCATAATCGCATTTTGGGACTTAAAAATGTACCAAACTCCTGATGAAATATATTCAATCCAATTAAATATATTCCATCTTTTAAACAGAAATGTCAAGCTTAGCACCCATTATTAATTTGTCATTGTTTTACCCAGGGCTTAAAAAATGATTATGTCTCTTCAGTCCTCACTTCAAATAAAATCCAATTATAATAAAATGATTGACTAGCCAGAAATAAAGCTATTTATAGCAAATTTATAGGTCACTAGAATAGCACTGATAATTATACAATATCAGTGTTGATTTTGAACTTCTAATGGATTAAAAGGTACATGATTTCTTTTCCTTAGCAATATGCATCAGAGATATTTGATCCCATTGTATCAAAAAGTTTTGTAATAATTTGAATTGCATATTTGTCATCTCTTACTGCTTTTGTGAAGTCAACAAGTCTTTCACAAACCCATCTACTCATTTCTTCCTACTAATGTTTTGCCCGTTTACATTATGAAAAGTATGGAATGAGCTATATAAAGCTGTCACCATCAATGTTTTTATCTGGTAATATTAAATATTTTTTAATAAAACAGACTGCTAAGTTCTATTCATTCTTTATTTTAGATGTGTTAATGATTTTTTCTTTTAATTTGTGAAGCAGTGTTCCTATTTTAATTTTGTTTTCTCTATATGGGAGTTGTATAATCGTAAACACTAAAAAAATGTTTAAATGAAAACAACTGTAGAAAGCATTATGATATGTTTATATACAGTTTTTTATGTACATAATAGCTTTATTAAGATATAATGTACATATCAAACAATTCACCATTTAAAGTGTACCATTCAGTGGTCTTTAATATATTCACAGAGTTGTGCAGCTGTCACCACAATTTTGGAACATTTTCTTCACCAAAAAAAAAAACCCCATACTCATTAGCGGTCACTCACCATTTTTCCCCTTGTCTCATTTCACTGTGGCTCCTGCAACAAATTACTACAAACTTGGTGGCTTAAAACAACAGAAATGTACTCTTCTTTAGTTCAGCGGGCCAGAAGCCCTACATCAAGGGTCAGGGTGCCTCCTTCTGGAGGCCCTGAGGCAGAAACTACCCAAGCCTCTCCCTACCTCTGGTAGCTGCTGGCAGTCCTTGCTGTTCCTTGGCTTGTAGCTGCCTCATTTGTTCACTGCCTCTGTCTTTACATGGCCTTTTCCCTATGTCTGTCTGAGACTATATGGTGTTATAAGGTCAGCAGTCATTGGGTTTAGCCCACCCTACCCCCACCTACTATGACCTCATCTCAGCTGATGACATTTGCAAAGATCCTATTTCCAAATAGGTCACATTCTAAAGTTCTGGGTGGGCATGAATTTGGGGGAGATATTATTCAACCCAGTTATATCCCTCAAACATCCAGTCCTAGGCAACCATTAATCTTTCTCTAGATTTGCCTATTCTGAACATTATTTTATGTTGGGTTTTGAAGTTTTCACTCCAGGGGGGGGTGGGGGGGAGCGTGTCATGAGAAAACAGATAAATCTGCATTGAGGAACTTCTACAAAACAACAAGCTATGGTCTTCAATAGTGCCAAGGCCATGAAAGACAAGGAAAGATTGAGGAAATATTCCAGAATGAAGGAGACTAAAGAAATATGAGTAAGGCAACATACGGTCAATGACAGGAGGTAAGAACATACAATGGGGTAAAGACAGTCTATTCAATAAATGGTATTGAGAAAATTGGACAGATACATGCAAAAACATGAAACTAAACCACCTCACACCATATATAAGAATAAATTCAAAATGGATTAAAGATTTAAAGGTAAAACTCAAAACGATAAAACCAGAAGAAAACAGGCAAATCTGGCATCTCATCAATGTGTTTTCTGTTATATCTCCTCCAGCAAGGGAAAAAAGTGAGAACTATATCAAACTAAAAAGGTTTTGCACAGCAAAGTTAATTTAAAAAATGAAAATACGACCTACTGAATGGAAGATGTTCACCAAGGATATACTGATAAAGGGTTAATATCCACAAATTACATAGAACTTCTGCAACTCCACACCAAAAACACAATCCAACTTTAAAAAAAAAAAAATGGGCAGAGGACCTGAATACACACTTCTCTGAAGGGGACATACAGGTGGCTAATAGACATGAAAAGATGCTCAATATCACTAATCATCAGAGAAATGAAAATTAAAACCCCAATGAGATATCACCTCACACCTGAGAGAATGGCTATCATCAATGAATAAATACCAAGTGTTGGCGAGGATGTGGAGAAAAGGGAACCCTCATGCACTGTTAATGTGAATGCAGATTGATGCAGCCCCTATGGGAAAGTGTATGGAGGTTCCTCGAAAAAATTAAAAGTGGAACTGCTTTATGACCCAACAATTCCACTTCTGGTATATATCTAAAGAAATCCAAAATACTAATTAGAATATATGAACCCCTGTGATCATTACAGCATTATTTACAATAGCCAAAATATGGAAGCAACCGAAATATCCATTAATAGATGAGTGGATAAAAAAAGTGGTGAAATTATATACATATATATATATACCACTCAGCCATAAAAATAAGAATGAAACCTCACCATTTGTGACAACATGGATGGACCTAGAGCAGTGGTCGGCAAACTGCGGCTCTTTGGCCCCTTGAGTGTGGCTCTTCCACAAAATACCACATGCGGGCGTGCATGTACAGTGCGGTTGGAACTTCATGGCCCATGCACAGAAGTCGGTATTTTGTGGAAGAGACACATTCAAGGGGCCAAAGAGCCGCATGTGGCTCTCGAGCCGCACTTTGCCGACCACTGACCTAGAAGATACTATCCTAAGTGAAATAAGTCAAAGACAAATACCATATGATTTCACTTACATGTGGAATCTAAAGAACAAAACTAATGAACAAACAAAATAGAAACAGACTCAGATACAGAGAACAGACTGATGGTTGCCAAAGGGGAGAGGGGTTGGAGAGCTGGGTAAAAAAGGTGGAGGGTTTAGAAGTACAAATTGGTAGTTACACAATAGTGATGGAGACCTAAAGCACAGCTTAGAGAATAAGTCTATATTGTAATAACTATGTATGGTGCCAGATGGGTACTGGAAATATCGGGGGAACACTTTGTAAGTATTATCTAACCACTATGCTGTAAACCTGAAACTAACACAAAATAATGTAAAATGTAATTGAAAAATAAAATTTAAATAAAAAAAGGAAATACAAGTAAGGCAATAGTGATTCTGAACTGGGTTCTTTTTTTTTCCAAAGGATGTTATTAGGACATTTGACAAAACATGAATGGACTCTAAGGGTTAGATGGTAGTAATACTTGGATATTAATGTCCTGATTTTGCTGGTTGTATTGTGGTTAAGAAGGAGAATGTCCTTATTTGTAGGAACTACACTAAGTATTTGGGTGATGGGACATCAGGTCTGCAATATAGTTGCAAGTGGCTCAGGAAAAAACGTTTTGCGCGCGCACACGCATGCACACACACACATATATTATTTTTGCTGACCTAACAAAAAGGTATAATTTTTACCTTTGTAATTAGTTGCTGTCATACCACTCAGCCATAAAAAAAAAGAATGAAACCTCACCATTTGTGAAACATGGATGGACCTAGAGCAGTGGTCGGCAAACTGCGGCTCTTTGACCCCTGGAGTGTGGCTCTTCCACAAAATACCACGTGCGGGCGTGCATGTACAGTGCGGTTGGAACTTCATGGCTCATGCGCAGAAGTCGGTATTTTGTGGAAGAGACACATTCAAATGGCTATTGTAATTAGTTGCTGTCATTTTTTTTTTTTGACAGCCTTAGGGAAAAGAGGTCAGTGCTCCTGACTAAATAGTCAAGTATTGCATGTTTTAAAAATTCTTGCACACACCTGTTGAAAACCCACCAGGGACAAACCTGCAATCCAACCAAGTCAGATTTATTGATTCGTTGCAACCAAAGAAACTAAACACTGAAAGGAGTTTTTAGGGGTAAAATAGGCAGGTTTAGGGAGTTTTAAAAATACAGAGGGTCTGCCCTAGCTGTTTTGGCTCAGTGGATAGAGCGCTGGCTTGTGGACTGAAGGGTCCCAGGTTCGATTCTAGTCAAGGGGACATGCCTGTGTTGCGGGATTCATCCCCAGTAGGGGTTGTGCAGGAGGAAGCTGAGGTTTCTATCCCTCTCCCTTCCTCTCTGAAATCAATTTAAAAATATACATTAAAAATACAGAGGGTCTGTGGGAGAGGCAAAGTTTGCTGGGGGCTGGGACTGCCAAAAGGCATCCATTCACAAAGAACTAAAGGCTCCACAGCCTAAAGGGAGAGGAAGATACCCATTCACAGACAATAAGGGGGGAAACAGAAGGGAGAAAGAGGAAAACAAATTTTCACAGGGAGTAGAGAATTCTACCACAGGACAGGGAGAAGAATAAAGGGAGACCCCACCTGGGGTTGGAGCTCTGAAGCTGCTATAGTGACCAACCAGAGGAGAATATCAGGACGCAAAGAATTGCAGCCTTTATAAACCTGGGGGAAAAGGGGCTTACTAGCCTACCCCTTTGGGACCCCCTCCCCACGTGGGAGTCTGTGCTTGCTTCCCAATAAATTTCCACCTTTTCCTTTTGCCCGTGGCTTCATTCTTCAAATCCACCTGGACAAGAACCTGGGACATCACCCTAGTATTCTGCTCAGAGGAAAACCAGCGTTTCGGTTCAATTTCCGCGTCTCACCACCAGAGGAACTGCAGGGTAACTCACCATACAAAAGGGAGTTGTAGGATTTGTGGGGAAGGTGCACTTCAGGTTAAATTCAAGTGAAACCCTATTGACAGGCTCCAAGCAAAGCAGCTGTGTGTAAAGGCAACATCAGGTTTCTTCTGAAAAGTGGGTGTAGGCTCTTCTTTCATTGGAAACTACAAAGTTAAGGACATATGGGAAGTTCTTTTCAGGAACCCCTATCTGAGCCCCGCTCCTGGGTAGAAATCGAGACTGCTTCCCTGTTCGTGTCTTAGATCCTCCAGGCTCGAGTGGGGTGTTTCGTCCCTACAAATAGCAACCTTTACGTGGACTTACAAGGTTTCCCGGTGGTTAAGAACACAGTACTCGTCCAAAACTGGGGGCGGTTATAACACTTTTCATTCCGACGGTCCTTAAAAGAAAGGCCGTTTCCTGTTACGTTACAATTGCCTTCATCTGACAGGGTTATCCATCCTGATGAATGGCTGGGCACACTTTTCCTTTCTCAGCTGTTACAAGCGTTGCATTCGGCCTCTCAAACCACAGCTAATCCTCCTCTCGGGGCCTTGCTTAGGGTCCAGCTTTTTTTTTTTAATATATTTTATTGATTTTTTTACAGAGAGGAAGGGAGAGGGATAGAGAGTTAGAAACATCGATCAGCTGCCTCCTGCACACTCCCTACTGGGGATGTGCCCGCAACCCAGGTACATGCCCTTGACCGGAATCGAACCTGAGACCCTTCAGTCCGCCGGCCGACGCTCCATCCACTGAGCCAAACCGGTTAGTTAGGGCATAGGGTCCAGCTTTGCTTGACCTGCTTTCTTCTCCTTCCGAACTCGAGCCTCCCTCGCAG